TCACTGCTGTGACTCGGAGCGTTCCCCATGGGGTCTCCGTCTCGGGCACCCGGCTCTGTCGCCGCCGCCGCCGCCGCCCCGCCTCGACCTGTCAACCTCAGACAGTACCCGGCGGCGGGGACGGGGAGGGGACGACGGCGGCAGCGGTGGCTTCCGGCTTCCTCGCCGTCAAGCGAGGACTGCTGTCGCCAAGGCGCCGTCAAGCGGACTCGACCCGCTGTCGTGCGACAGCCGCGGAGGACAGTGTCGGCAAAGGGCGGAACTGCGAGTGACGAGCAGGCGCTGCTGTCGCGCCGCGCCGTCCCCTGGCCTCCGTGGTCACGGTCTTTGTTAGGGGCGGACAGCCGGCAGGCCCAGAAGGCCCTTTCGGCTGCTCAATTCTTGAAAAGGCACGAGAAAAGAGCAGGGAGCCAGGAGTGAGCTTTACCTGAACTTTCTCCCATTCAGTCCTCCGCGTCCCCTCCGTGCCGGGCGACAGGAGAGAGTGTGACGCCGGTGACGTCACGACCAGCGTCTCCGCCATCTTCGTGTGGGCGGAGAGGCGGCCACCTTGGCCGAGCGGAGGGCGGGCGGCCGTCGATGCTGCGGCCCGGCGGGCGCGGGCTCCTCAAAGGGCCTGGCCGTGGCGGCGGCCGCGGCGGTGGCAGCGCGGCTGGCGGGCTGGTGGGGCCCCCTCGCTGGCTGTCGCCTCTTCACACCCGGGGAGCTGGCCCGCCACCGCGGCGGCCCCGGGGAGCCAGGCCTCTACCTGGCGCTGCTCGGCCGCGTCTACGACGTGTCCTCCGGCCGCAGGCATTACGAGCCTGGGGCTCCCTATAGCGGCTTCGCAGGTACCAGCGCGGCGGCTCGTGCCCTCTCGTGCTCTGACGCAGGCGGGTAGCCGCCTGTGCGGCATTCATTCATTCATTCATTCATTCATTCATTCATTCATCCATCTGCTGTTTTCCTCCCTGTATTCATCAGGCCAGCGTGGGGGTCGGGCTCTGCCGCTCGGCCCTCCCAGCCTCGCTGACACGGCGTGACTATGGCCAGCAGTTAGCGGCCTCTGGTCTCCATGTCCTTCTTCCTGACTTACGGGGAGAAGCGCGCCTCCTGCCTCTTGTTAGTCACCTATTACCCACCGGCAGAAGCCCCCGAGGGGCACCTGCTTTGTGCCACACTGCGTGGCTCTCGGGGCGCAGAGATGAAGGAGACCCTGCTGACGCCAATCGTCTCTTCAATTCCTCCGGACCCACCTTTCCCCTAAAAGTAGTGCATTTGGCTTGAGTAGGTCCTGCTTCCGGCACAGATGCACTTGTCTGCCTGCCTTAAAGAAGATTCTGAGGTTAGAGCGCTGGGCAAGAGCCTGGCCATCTTTTGCAGCCCTTCAGTACTCACAGCTGTGCGTATGTTATGCCTCAAAGAAACGTGTCGGTTTAAGTTTGCTCTGCTGACCCTGTTTTACAGCTGAGGGGATTAAAGGATGTGATTTGCCTAAAGCCCTCACAGCTAACAGGACTTAGACCAGTGGTTCTCCACCTTGGCTGCACATTAGAATCACCTGGGAATCTTTTTAAGATCCTGATTTCTGGGGCCTCATCCTCCGGAAATTCTGTTTCTTTGCTATGCGGTGGGGCCACAACATTAGTAACAAAGAAACAGAATTTCCGGAGATGAGGCCCAGAAATCAGGATTTTAAAAAGATTCCCAGGTGATTCTAATGTGCAGCCAAGGTTGAGAACCACTGAGTTAGACGAAAACCACCAGCTTATTACTTTTAGGTGTTGCCTTACCAGCCCCGAGGAATGACCACCTCTCAGGTTTAAAGAGGGGGAAAAAATGCAGACAAGCTTAAGGCCAGTGACAAGGCTGATATTAAATGAGCATTTTTCCACTTGTTTCGTTATCTTAGGGAAATTGGGAAGCTGCCTCTGGTACTTAAATACAAGCCACTTCCCTGTTTCTAGGGAGAACTTAGGAGACAGAAGAAGCATATAAAGGGAATCAAGTTCAGTTGGTGTTGCCAAGCTCCTCAAACAGTTGAGCAGGGGAAGGGGCTTACCCAGGGCTACACAGTGAGTAAGAAGTGGAGCTGGGACTGGAGTCAGGGGTTTTAGTTTACCTGCGAGGAGAGGGCACTTTTGGGTGCACTATCCTGCCCCACCCTGAAGCAGCTGTCATGGCTACATCCACAAGTGTGAGCATAAAACCCTCCGCTTCTGGGTGGTGTTTCTTCTGCAGTGTGCTCTGCTGTCTACAGAGTTCCTCGGTGCCATTATTCATTCAACGTCCATTTATTGACCACTAACGTGTAGCCTGCCTTGTGCCAAAGATTACAACATGCTCCCCACTGCCCACACAGGCTAGAAGAGAAGCAGATTAGGTTCATCTATTCATTTGTTCAATCTTTTTATTACCTTTTATTGATATAATTCATACACTATGAAATCTACCCCCTTTAACATGTATAATTCAGTGGTTTCTAATATAGTCAGAAAGTTGTGCAGACATTGCTAATTCCAGAACATTTTTATCGAACCCCCTACAAAATAAAACCCCACATCCATTAGCCGTCACTCCCCATTCCCTTCCATTCCCCAACCCTCAACAACCACTATCCACTTTCTGTCTGGGCATTTCATATAAATGGAATCATACATGTGGCTTTTGTGACTGGCTTCTTTCACTTAACACAATGTTTCCAAGGTTCGTCTGTGGTATATTAGTATGTACCAGTACTCCATTCCTTTTTTTTTTTCCCCCCCTCACCAAGGATATTTTTCCATTGATTTTTAGAGAGAGAGAAAGACAGAAATATCAATGTGAAAGAAACACGTTGATTGGTTGCCTCCTACCAGGGCCAGGGCCAGGGAGGAGCCTGAAACCGAGGTACATGCCCTTGGCTGGAATTGACCATTCTGTCTGCAGGCCAACACTGTACAGAGCCAAACCCGCTAGAGTTCCATTCCTCTTTATGGTCAAACTAGCGGCCTGGTGCATGAAATTCGTGCACTGGGGGGATGGGGTCCCTGCACCCTTTCACAGTCCGGGAGCCTTCAGGGGATGTCTGACTGACAGCTTAGGCCCGCTCCTAAGCTGTCAGACATCCCTTAGTGCTGCCGCAGATGTGGGAGAAGCTCCCGCCACCACTGCTGCACTCGCCAGCCGTGAGCCTGGCTCAGGGCTTCTGGCTGAGCAGCGCTCCCCCTGTGGAAGCACACTGACCACCAGGGGGCAGCTCCTGCATTGAGCATCTGACCCCTGGTGGTCAGTGCACATCATAGTGACTGGTCATTCTGTGTGGTTAATTTGCATATTAGCCTTTTATTATATAGGATTATTATATAGGATAATATTCCATTGTATAGATATACCACTTTTGTTTATTCATCATTTGTTGGAAATTGGGTTGTTTTCACTTTTACCTATTATGAATAATGCTAAAACATTCATGTGCAAGCTTTTTTGTAGGCATGTTTTCAGTTCTCTTGAGTGTAGAATTGCCAGGTAACTATTTAAATAATCTTTTTTTCAAAGACATATCTTTTTATTGATTTCAGAGAGAAGGAGGGAGAGGGAGAAAGAAAACATCAATGATGAGAGAATCATTAATTGGCTGCCTCCTGCAGGCTCCTCTATGTTTAACTTTTTGAGAAACTTCCAAATTGTTTTCTAAAGTAGCTGCACTATTGTGCATTCCCATCAGTGTATTAGAGTTTCAGTTTCTCCACTTCCTCACTGAATGGTTGTCTTTTTTATTATAGTCATTTTAGTGGTTTGAAAGTGCTATCTCATTGTGGTTTTGATTATTTGAATTTCCCTAATAACTAATTTGCTTGTTGATCATTTGTATGTCCTCCCTGGAGAAACATCTATTCAAGTTCTTTGTCCATTTTTTAATTGGGTTGCCTTTTTATTTTTTTATTTTTTTTTAAATATATTTTATTGATTTTTTACAGAGAGGAAGGGAGAGAGATAGAGAGTTAGAAACATCGATGAGAGAGAAACATCGATCAGCTGCCTCCTGCACATCTCCTACTGCGGATGTGCCCGCAACCCAGGTACATGCCCTCGACCGGAATCGAACCTGGGACCTTTCAGTCCGCAGGCCGATGCTCTATCCACTGAGCCAAACCGGTTCCGGCGCCTTTTTATTTTTGAGTTGTGAGAATTCTTTATATATTCTGGATGCTGATAAATGATTTGCAAATATAGGATGTCCCAAAAAATGTATACACACTTTGAATAGTTATTCATTCCAATGGGTTAAATCTGAAAAGAAACATCAATTGAGCTATCAGGAAAAAAAGTGTGTATACATTTTTGGGGGACACCATGTATTTTCTCCCATTCTGTAGGTTGTCTTTTTACCATTTTTTTTTGTAACTTGATATTTTTAAAAATATTTTTAATTGATTTTAGAGAGAGGAGAAGGGAGAGGGAAGAGAGAAACATCAAGTGGTTGCCTTCTCCCTTGAGCATCCCAGGTACCTTAACTAGGACAGAACCCACAGTCAGGAATCGAACCAGTGACCTTGCGGTGCACAGGACAACACACAAGCTACTGAGCCACACCCATCAGGGCTCTTGGTCAGGGCTCTTTTCACTTTCTTGATAGTGTCCTTTAAAGCACAAAATTTTTTAATTTTGATCAAGTTCAACTAATTTTTTTCTTTGGTTGCTTGTGCTTCTGGTGTCCTGAGAAACTATTGCTAAATCCAAGGTCACAAAGACTTTCACCTATGTTTTCTTCTAAGAATTTTATAGTTTTTAGTTCATAGATTCAGCTCATTGATCTATTTTGAGTTCATTTTACATATGGTATAAGGATCTAATTTCATTCTTTTGCATGTGGCTATTCAGTTCAAGCACCGCTTATTGAGAAGACTATTCTTTCCCTCTTGGAATTGCCTTGACAGTCTTTTTGAAAATCAATTGGTTTTCATTCAGTCAATACTTATTGAGAATGTACTAAAGAACAGACACTACCAGACACTGAGTAATCAATACTAAAGGAGTTTTGTGTTTCCCTTATAAAATTTGCTGACAGGTAAAAGACAAAAAGTCAGTAGTTGACACATAATTAATGAATTATTTTTGTGATGAGTGTAAAAGGGAACACACACTGCTGTGACCAGAGGCCAGGGAGCACAGAGGGAAGGCAAGGTTGGTGGCAGCTGGTGCAGAGTTCTGAATGGCATGTTATGGAATTTTGATATCATAGAGCAGAAGGAAGTCACTGAGAATTTTTAAGCAAGAGAATGACTTGATCAATTTGTGTTTAAAATAATCTAAGTGTTGTATGAAAAATCGGTTAGTAGGGAAAGAATGACTATATAAAGAACTGCTAGGGGTTTATTGTAGTTCAGATGAAAAATGATGACAGCCTGGGCTTGCTTAGTGGGAGATGGAGAAAGGTAGATATAAGAACTATTTAGGTTATGGGATTTGGGGACTGATTGGATGTGAGGGATGAAGGAGATGCCAAGGACTGCATTTCTGGATTGAGCAACTGGTTGATATTTACTGAGACAGGGAATGCTAGAACAGATGCATTTTCCTCGGGCTGGGGTGCTGATGACCATTAGTTGAGTGTGAACATTTTGAACTTGTGATGACATGTAAGTGATGCTGAGTAGACAATTGAATTTATAGGTCTGGAGCTCAAGAGAAGTCTGAGCTAAAGATACACACTTAGCAATTTTTGGTTTAGAGGTGGTATTTGAAACCACGGGAGTGGATGAGATTGTCAAGGGGAGGGTGTGGATGGAGTAGAGGAAGTGGACAATGATTGATCTCAGAGGCTGGTAGAAAATGCCTAGAGAGGTAGGAGGAAAACCAGAGTGTAGTGTCATGGAAGCCGAGGGACATGTCAGCTGTACTGAATGTTGCTGAAAGTAGATGAAAGAATGTGATAAATGCCAAAATGTGTGTCCAAGGTCCACGAGCATCTGTGACAGAGGAGGGGTATTATATTTGGGGGTGGACAGGGGGGTTTTCAGATGTTTCTCAGGAAATAGATTGAGTTGGTACGACGTCAGCGACTTACAAGTTAACCGACTGGAAACATGTCTGCTGCAGGCCGAGACGCATCCAGAGCGTTTGTGACCGGGGACTACTCTGAAGCAGGCCTTGTGGATGATGTGTCTGACTTGTCACTTTCTGAGATGCTGACACTTCAAAATTGGCTGTCGTTCTATGAGAAGAACTACGAATGTGTGGGTAGGTATTCCACAGGCCGTTTCCAAAGATCTCATTTCTTTTTCTTGTAATTTTTTAACGGACTAGAATTCTTTGGGGCTTGGACTCAAGGTTAAAATCTGAAAAATACCTATGGACTTTTCACCTTAAACTCTAGTTGGGAGTGTGGCAGTGAGTCCCAGAAGGAAATGGCTCGGGCACCTGGTCCCTCACTTTTAATCTTGGGAAAGCATTGCCTGCCCATTTGCTTTGGCCTCTGTTGCCCCTAAGCCAGTTGCCTGCACCACGCTTCACCAACCAGCTCCAGGAGGGCAGCTTTCTTGTCTCGCAGCGTTCCGGGCATCTGGCTTCAGCAGGCAGGAAGGCTTGAAGCCCAAGTTCGTGTGCAGTTTTGACAGATATTCTTTTACTTTGTCCTCTAAGGAGAGGGACATTAACCTATGTCCATCCTTAATGAATTGTGTCCCGGGGGAAGTTATGCTAATCCAACATGTGTTAAAGCTAGTTGTGTAGGGCACTGCCCTTGCTGCTGACTGGTGAGGCAGGAGGGAATTTGCCTTTTAAATGGGAAGACACCTAGAGAAGTGTTAGTCACAGAAACTGGGGTGGTTGGAGCCCTTTTTCCCATCGATTGCAGCCCCAGCCTCTCACGGGAGCCCCACTTGGACCCAACTGACTTCCTGAGGAACGTCAGTGTCCTTTCACCTTTGGAACAGGTCTACATGGGAAGTTCCTCCTCCACCCCCAGGCCTCTGAGTGATGCTTCTGTCATTACTACGTGGGTTACCTTTTCTGAAAACCTTGCCATTTGTACTAACTCCTCTGCTCCCTACACATCCAACTTGCCAAGGCTTTTTTAGTAACTTCTAAGGTTTTGTTTTCATGCCCACGCTCCTCCACACCCGCCACTGTTGGCCTTTGTCATCCCAACCTGTAGCACCCCTTCTCTGTTTTCACCCAGGCTGCCCCAGTTCATCCCTTAGACCACAGCCATGTCTGCCATGGAAGGAACTGGCCTCTATCCATCTGCCCTTCTCCCTTTTCCCACCAGGTTGCTGAACCAAGGTTGAAACATTACTGGGTTAATAAGGAAAAGAAAATTCAACACAAAAGAGTAAGGGTGGAGTCCTGTGAGTGGGCAAAGGATGCCAGACCAAATGTGTCATACTGGTGTTTGGTGAGATGAGTGAACTAGTCTTATTTGAAGAGTATTGATGTATGTGAGGAGGGTGGGGGTTTTAGTTAAGTCGGGATATGTTTGAATATCTACTATGCATAAGCTCTGGTACTGGTCCTGGTGAGGACCAGGGATGAGCTGAGTGCAGTGCCTGCCTCTGTTAGCTCACTCAATAGGAGGGGGTCGTGTTAGGCTCTTACAGGGCATCAGAAACCCTCAGGACACATCCGAGGATGAATGTGTATATATGGGTGCACAGTGAGGTGAAGACAACCAGAAAGCCATATTGGCAGCCACATGGCCAGGCCTCCAGGGAAAATGAGATGTCTTTTGTTGTTTTCTGGATATAGCACCGACTTAGAGACTCAGCCAATGGTGACCACCATTCCCATGAGGCAGCTACTACAACTCTCTCTATTGCCTCTACTACTGCTGCTGCCCTCTCTTTGGGTCGCATGCCTAAAAGCCACAAGATAGCCTGTCACCATGCATAGAGACCTTCAATAGGAGAAATTCTTGTGCCAGGCCAACTCTAGACTGCAGGCCTGGGACTAGGGCCCTGTACCCTTCATTTAATCTAACAAGCATGTAAAACGCAAGCTCTGTACTAAGCTGTTTTGAGTGCTGGGGCCTCATGGTAGGGGGAGAGAGATCATAAATAAGTAAGCAGATCAAGCAAGTCCAGATAGGACTGTGAATAAACTAAAACGCTAATGCAGTGCAGGTTTGGGCGCGTGTGGCCCCTTTAGAGAAGAAGGTCAGGGAGGCCTCTTAGAGGAGATGACAGATAAGCTGAGACCTGGAAGGCGGGAAGGAGCAGCCATGCTGAGGTCTGGACAGAGCCTTTCAGGCTGAGGTCGAGGCAGCTAAACATGGTCAAGGACTAGGCAGGAGGCCAGTGGGCAGGAGCCGGCAGGAAATGAGGGAGGGACAGCTTGAGAAGAGGCTCAGAAGGCAAAGGGAAGCCAGATGCTTATAGAGTGTTGGAGGCTTTGGTAAGAAGTTTGTACTTTATCCGCGTGTTTTAGGAAACCATTGCAGGGTTTAAACCTAGCATGGAGGTGACATGATAATCATTTTTCAAATGCTCACCTAGCTGCTTTGTGGAGAAAGAATTTTGGGAAGGGATCAGCTAAGGGAGACATACCAGTTGGGAGGCTATTGTAATCCAGAGTTTGGATTAGGGTGGTAGCAGTAGAAATGGAAAAGGACAGAATTAGGGAGTCGCTAATGGATTGGACATGAGCACATGGAAGCATGCATTTGGGTGTGAAGGAGGGGGTATCAGAGAGACCCAAGGCTCCTAATCCAAATAACCAAAGCCAGAAGTGATACAAATACAACTGGAAAAGTCCCGATGGGGAGCTGAACTTGAGAGGAAGAACTGAATCTTGGGAACACTCTATGTAAGTGCTCTGGGATTTAAGTGCTCAGGGCCTGGAGAGGTTGGACAGACAGCTGGGCAAGTATACACAGCTACCTCGTCCTCCCTGGTCAAACCTTCTAGAAGTGCTTTCTGCTGCTTCTCTTGCCCTGTGACGGCCACTTACACTCAGGACTTGAAGATGAGGAGACCTGAGCCCTTTGTAGCTTTAGCCCACAGGCTCTCCGACCACTTGCTGGCTGCTGCCATAGCTTAGACCATTACAAATTCTGGCATGGATTTTAAACTAAAACCAATTTCCACCCAATATGTCCATAGGACTGAGCAAGAAGAGAACGGGGAGGGGGGGGGGGGGCAGCGCAGGGAAGAAAGCATGTGCTTGGGCTCAGAACCACTCACTAGTTTCATAGACACCTCCCTCCCCTGTCTCTCCTGTGAATAGGGGAACAATGATTACTTTCTCATAGGGTTATGAGGATTAAGAAAATAGTAGTTATGTGCTAGCATAGCACTTGCCACTAAGTAATTGCTTAATAAGTAATATATTTATAGTTATATATGATAAAATAATTCAATTTTGGGAAGAATTAAGCCACAAAAATGTTACACAGAAGGCCATTTATTTGTCAGACATTTATTGAACACCTACTGTGTGCCTCAGGCACTGTGGAGCATTGAAAATGAATCACATGGTTCCACTCTCAGGGGACTGATGTCTGGAAGTGAGACGTTTTATAATTTCCTCAGAAGACTCTACAAGTACAAAAGGGATGCTTCTATCTGGAGTCTTCTACGATGTTGAAACATTGGGATAGAAGGTGCCCAAGTCCTCCAATATTTTTTTTTAAATATATTCCATTGATTTTCTTACAGAGAGGAAGGGAGAGGGATAGAGAGTAAGAAACATCGATCAGCTGCCTCCTGCACACCCCTAACTGGGGATGTGCCCGCAACCAAGGCACACGCCCTTGACCGGAATCAAACCCGGGACCCTTCAGTCCACAGGCCGACACTCCATCCACTGAGCCAAACCAGTCAGGGCACCAATATGAGTTCTTAAGAAATAAGCAGCCAGCAGGCTCCAGTAGAGCCCTGACCCCAGAAGCCCTGGGAAGCTGGGCAGTATTACAACTGCGGGAGAAGCCAAGCATCTCCTCCTGCCTCCCCCTGACACACACCATCCCAACCCCCCGCCCCCCCCCCCCCTTGCCCATTCTGACAGCAGCTCTCCTATCACTACAGGAAAGGTGATTGGAAGGTTCTACGGAAAGGATGGGCTCCCCACCTCGGCACTAACCCAAGTAGAAGCCATGATCACCAAAGGCTTGGAGGCAGACAAAGAGCAACTGAAAGAGAAGAAGAAGTTCCCACCATGCAACACGGAGTGGAGCTCCGCCAGGGGCAGCAGGTTCTGGTGTTCCCAAACAAGGTAAGCAGGCTTCCCTTCTGCTGCCTCCGCCGCTCCCAAACCCAACTCCTAGCTCCTCCTGTGGTTCAGGGAGGCAGTAAGTTGATTGTTAACCCAGGGGAACTTTTTCAAAATACATGTGCCCTGGGATAGTGATTCTCGACTTTGACTACTTGTTAGAATCTTCTGGGCAATTTTTAAAAATTACCAATGGTGGGACCTCACTGCAGGCAACTGGGTGAGAATATTAGGATTGAGATCTGGCCATTTTTTCTTTCTTTTTTTAATTCCCCAAAGACCCTGCTGAAGAACCCCTGAGAGGGACTGAAAAGTCACAAGCACTGTTTTCTTGCTTTGGCCTGTTCATCCATCCAAGGGCCTTCATTTCCTATTTGTCAGCACAAATCATTCCTGCCTTACGGAGGGATAAGGAGGTGGACATAACCACTTGTGTTGATGCCCTGAGGTGCCGTCTTAAGAACTGCAAATTCTGAGGAATTCCAGGAGGTAGGCTAGATGAGAAGTCCTTGCCTGTAAGAATTGAAGTGAGCCAGATTAGAATAGATGCCACAGGGGATATTCCAGGTTGGTTTGGGGAAACTAGAGAAAAAAAATTGTTTTCCTGCTTTAATGATCAGGCCAGCCTGGATTTAAATACAGTTCAAGTCCCTCAAATCTCCTTTAGCTCTGATAAGGGGACAAGGAGACAGAACTAGACAAACGCCCAGCCTCGAGGGCCTCAAAGTAAGAGCCCAGGTCACTGAGGGTCAAGGAGACCTGCTGTGGCTTCTGCAAGAAGGGCCACTCGCCTTGAGTGCTCCGTTGTGTAGATCCACTCTCTTCTATGGGGAGAGGCACACCTCTTTGCTCTCCTTGAGGCTGATTTCTTGTGTCAAAGCCAGCAGCTTTCTCCAGGCCCAGCCACCGTGTACATCACATGTTCCCTCCACCGTAATTCAGGGCAGCAGGAAGGAAAGCCTCGTCTCTCCCGGCCACCAGTTTTGCAGAGGCAGCCCCTCCAGGGTTATCATGTCTCCAGAAAGAGGGGCCCTCGCTTTAGGAAGAGGAACTGGGACAAAGGTGGGCCTTGCGGGAACACAAGCCTGAATGCAGGTGGCTTCAGAGAGCACTGGTCCCGCCTGGGAGGGGCCCAGAGGCTTGAGTGCATTTAGATGCTTGACTTTGCTCCCTTGGCGAACCTGCCTCCCTCTCCGTCCTCACAGCCTTGTCTGTCTTTGTGTAACGCCCTCTTACTTCCCTGAGTTGCTTAGGCTCTGCCTTCCCCCCAGAGCTCTTCCAGACCAACTCCAAGGAGCTTGGCCCCATCCCTGAGCTCCAACCCAACGCATTGCTTTCCACATGTACATACCTCCCTGGAGACTGGGAGTCGCAAGTCCTGAGGAGGGACTGGGTGTGGAGCACGGGTCACTGCGATGGGATGGATGGTTAGAAGGAAGGAGGTGGCGTTTCAGTGCCCTTCCCTGACAGCCTTGCTCTTGGGTAAGTTAACTGGGCAGCAGTTTCTCTGACAGCAAGTGATTCTGGTCCCAGGCACTTAAACCTACATGGGCATCAATTCCCAAGAATCTCATTTTTCTCTGCAAGTCTTGTGAGTCCATGGGAGGCTGTACTTAGGACCCTAAGATGAGGTGGGTTCCCTCTGCCCAGGACAGGAGGTTGCTCAGCTATGTTGGACCAGGTGACATCAAGGACTGCACCTGGGCAAGGGTCAGGAAATGGCCTCTCAGAGAAGGCTGACCACCAGGCCTTGTGTTGTTGCCTCAGTTGTCCACCCTACCCAAGTGCCCAAAACCCTAAGATCAAGGCACTAGGATGGAGTGGGAAGGGAAGAGAGAATCAGAGCCAGATACTGCTTTTGAGAAGCTCACAGGCCAGTGGGAGAAAGCCTTTCACTGGTGTTGCCGCCAAAGCAGGGAGTGCTGCCTCCCAGGAAGGCACAGGGTGGGGCGGGGCCAGGGAGCAGTGCCAGGAGGATGCCCTGGGCAGGGGAAGCTGGCGAAAGTTAGGAGAGAGAACAAGGTCAGGGGCTGAACACTGCAGACCTCGCCTTGGGAAAACGTCAAGATGGCTCACTGCTTCCTCCTCCCCCACCCCCACCCCCGACAGACTCTAAGTCCCTCTCCTTCTATCTTCAGTGGAGGCGTGAGCAGAGACTGGACTGGTGTCCCCAGGAAGCTGTACAAGCCAGGTGCCAAGGAGCCCCACTGTGTGTGTGTGAGAACAACCGGTCCCCCTAGTGACCCAGCACCGGACAACCCTACACACAGAGATCGTGGGGACTTGGACCACCCCAACTTGGAGGAATATACAGGCTGCCCACCCCTGGCCATTACATGCTCTTTCCCACTCTAAGCTGGTGCCCTACCTGTTGATAACCCACAGAGAAGCCTAATGAGCCCTGACTCACATGCACTAGGATGGCTCCTGACATCGAACAAGGGGGCCTGGAAGGACTCTGCAATGTAGCCCATGACCCTCACCAGTGGCTCACCATTCTGGTGACCGAGGCCAGAGCTCGGCAACTCGCCTAGTACTGGTCAGCCCGTTTTTGCCACTGTTCTAGATCTACTTGCCATCCTCCTTCAGAGCCCTCAAATGTTAATGAACACAAATATGACCAACTCAAAACTAACTGGACAGACAAGCAAAGGGCTGTAAGCTCCAATCCTTCCCATGGACTCCCAGGCTGCCAGATCAGCTGCTGGCCTCGTCAGGGGCACTGGCAAAAAGGGACGACATCACTCTCTTACAACTCAGAAACAAGAGGATACATCCAGAAAAGACCAAAAAGGAATGAATGAATGAATGAATGAATGAATGAATAAATAAATAAATAAATAAATAAATACATTTAAAAAAACCGGCATCAACATACTCTCTTCCAGGTTCCCTGATGGCTAAACTTGTTACCCCTGACTTTTATAACCTTTTTTCTTTCCTTTTTTGTTAATACTCAACTGAGGATATTTTTAGGGAGAGTAGAAGAGAGAGGGAAAGAGAGAAACATCGATGTGAGAGAAACACATCGACTGGTTGCCTCTGCATGAGCCCTGACTGGGAAGGAGCCTGCAACAAAGATACATGCCTTGACTGGAATCGAACCCAGACCCTTTGGTCCACAGGCCGATGCTCTATCTACTGAGCCAAATCAGCTAGGGTTGTAACCTTTCTTATATGTGACTCTTCTCTAATTTACAACCAAAAGCTGCATTGAGTTGATATGAGCTGGGCCAATACAGTCAGAGGTGACAATAAAAGAGTAGACTAATTCTGGAAATTGGAAAAGCTTTTGCTTATATAGATGCAGCAAATCCAGATGCCTCTTTAAATTTAAAGCAAGGATATTGTTTCTATTTCAAAAACTTAAAATAAGGTGTGATGTGTTTTCAAAGGGAGAATTCTGCGTTTTTGGCGAGAGGCAGTTTCAGAGTTCTAACAAGATAACAGGCTAGCACAACATCAGCATTTGCGCAAGGCTGCAAAATGCCAAATACAAACAGCCTCAATTTGCCGCTATCCGGGCTCGCAGCTCTTCCAGTGGGTTGTGTGCCGCGCCAGCACGGCCAGGTTTGGTGAGTCTAAGTGGGTGGTGAAGGATTAGGAAAAGACAGACAAGAGAAGAAAGCTGGGTCTGGGTGGGACGCTGCCCTCTCTGATGGAGAGACAGCACCACGGCCTGCAAACCGAGTCTTTATTTTATAGACAGTTTCCATGTGTCTATAAGGGCGTGGTTACAACATTCTTGTGGGTTTCGAATCTACTCAATATCACTTAGCCACGTGGGACCACAGGTTCGGACCATAGGTTCAAGCTTACAACTATAGCCTTTGGCTATAATTGTGCTGGGACTTGCACGTGGCAAAGCCAAGAGAGGATCGTGCCCTCTCATTAGTCCCAGGCTTGAACCTGTCCAAACGCTGTAGCCGCTCTCCACAGGTTGTGTCCAAGGTCACTGTAATCTACTCTTGACATAGTTCATACCCATTACTCCTGGATTCTTGTTGAGTAGACAGGGACAAGGAGTGTTTCTACCTCCGAGATAAGGCAATAAAGCCTGGTGCTATTAGACATGGTTTCTCCTCATCTGAGCCTTCACCTCCACTCCTTTCCCAACCCCCTCAACTCTTTTTTTTTTTTTAAATATGTTTAAATTGATTTGAGAGGGAGAGAGAGATAGAAACATCGATGAGAAATTAACATTGATAGCTGCCTCCTGCACGCCCCCTACGGGGGATTGAGTCCGAAACCTGGGCATGTGCCCTGACCAGGAATTGAACTAGTGACCTCTTGGTTCATGGGTCAACCACTGAGCCACACCAGCTGGATTCAACTCTTATTTTAAACATCCTCTATTCTTCTTCCTTTCTTTCGTTTAGAATTAATCTCACTAAATAGCTTTCCAGATTCACTGACTAGAAAATGGAGGCTGCCTCCCCTACAAGGGCAGTCTCATGGTTCACTGCCCTTATGGCCACACCTGCTCCTTACACCGGACTCTGCTCTTAACTCATTTTCCCACCCAGGATCTTTCTCACCTGCCCTTCCTGTACCTTTAACCTCTCCCTGCCTAAGTCCGGAAGAGCGCACTCTTCTGTGGCCCTTATCTATTCCTGCCATAGATAAGCCTCTGAAAAAGCTGCAGGTACTCACTGTCTTTGCTCCTCAGCCCCCATTCGCCTGGCTCCTGCCCTTCCCTGATCCACAGCAGGTAACTTCAGTGCTGCTACGTCCCATGGCCCCATTCCTTAAAAGCTGCCTCTCCTCCACGAACCCCTTCCCACGAGCTCTTCTCACGCCTTGGATCTAGTCCAGATGCCTTTCCCGAGCAATTCTATAGGCACCTCAACTCCTTCCTGGCATTCAGTCTTCATCTTCTCCCTCAGCCTCTCCCCACACCCTACATCCTCCACTCACTGCATGTGCCCACAATGCCTTCCACCTGGAATGATACCTCTTCCTCCGCTCAATTTGTCCACCCTTTATCTTTTAAAAATTCAGCTCAACAGCACCTCTTGGGAGCCTTCATCCACCCTTGGCCCACCAGTTGGATTTAGGTGCACCTGTTCCCACAACACAGGTCCCATGTGCTCACTTCTCAGATAACAAATCTGTTCTGTAACCATGATTTCCTATCAGCCTCTCACTCTGAACTGCAGACTGAGAACAGGGACCAAGGCTACTGGGTTCGGTACCCCTATAGCCACAGTTCCTGGAGCACGTGGTACGTGTGCCGTTAGCTCATTTTGGAGAGGAGGCAGCCAAGGTCCAAAAACTTCCTAAGGGCACAAAGTCGTGGAGCCGAGCCTTGGACTCAGGGTTCTCGTCCTGACTGTGCTATTTTCACTCCCGCAGTTTGGCATGTCACTGCCCTCCCTGGAGCAGGAGCAGAGAGCTGAGGTTAGGACCTTCCTTGCTCTGCATCCCATTCAGCCCCTGAGGCATCTCAACTGCAAGCTAACTGGGAACTAGTCACTGCCACTGCGCTGGTTGTCCTTAGTCATTCAACAAATATTTGCCAAACACCCCTGTGCCATGGAGTGGAGGATGGGAGGAAAGCCAGGTTCCTGGCCTCAAGGAGCTTACGGTATGGTAGAAATATAGGGATAGTGTGTGTGTGGGGGGGGGGGATGGACGGGGGATGGACCTTCAAAGGATTCAGCAAGAGCAGGTTGTCATTTTAACGGTCCGAAGGGCTTAGCCATGGGAGGTGGGTGGTTACTGGAAATGCCTCTCCCTTCTCTCTCCACAGAGGTGGTCCCGGGCAAACTTAGGGAGGAGGAAGGAGTCCCTCAGATGAAAGCCACAGAAAGTTCAGCTCAGGCAATTAAGACCTGCTGGCAGAGGGAAATGGAGAAGAAAACTAATACACGTTGGGCAACTATGCTGGGCAGGAAACTTTATCTGTTCTCATTTAACCTCTAGGCCAGCCCAGAGAGGGCCTCATTTTATGGACCAGAAAAGGGGCATCCATCTGCCCCCACCTGCTAACAGTTACAGCAGTCATGGGGTGGCAGAGTGTTTTACTAAGTCACTCCCTCTGCCACTGGGCAGTGTTAAAGCAAAGGTGGGGTAACTGCCCCCAACATGCTGAAGGAAATGTAGTATCTGCCTTTGAATTGAGATTCCAGTTTTCTATAAACACACAGAGTGAAGCCCAGCCTTTTTGGTCACAGCTTCGCCACTGCATGACTGTACAGCAAAGGGAGCCATATCAGACCATCACCCCATCCCTTGCTTGCTTAGCTCCGGGACAAGCTGTGATCTGATAGATCCTCAGACAGGCTGGGGCCTGTCTCTGTCCCGAGATCTGCAGTGTCCCTCAGGATCACCCTGGGCTGAACCCCTACCCTCGAGAGCACCTCTTACTGCCAGAGCCCCCAGATTCCTGCAAGTAGGCAGCAGACATTGCTCCCATCAGCCCTCACTTCAGGGGACTCCCGGTGTGCACACCAGTTCTACTTGCCCAAGAGGAAGGACACTACTGATCACTTTCCTCCAGGCAGCCTGTAAGCTAAAAAGGACCTCGGTCACTTCCCTTTTACAGGTCCAGACACCAAGGCACAGCACTTACGGCATTTGCCCAATATTGTCAGCGAACAATGAGAAAGCAGAACGAAAGCCAGGGCTCTGACCTGGCTGGGCAAAAATGGGGGAAAGTGGATGCGTACCTGGTTCCTGTTGGTATTCACGTAATGACATAGTATGACCAGTGTTCACCTCAAGGGCGGCTAGTAGGGTTACTTGGGAGCACTTAACAGTTCCTATTAACTGTCAGAAAAGCCACCAGAGAATGAGGTATCTCACCACAGGTGGTCCAAAATAAGGATAAGCAAAATGGGAGACAGGTAAAGAAAGGGAGAACATTAATTCAAGGGAGTGTGAGGCCCTATGAGCTACTAGATTTGTACACTTCCTACAGGGTGCTGCAGGTCACTAGGTTTTAATATGCAAGACCTAACCCTTCCTTAGTATTCCATCAAACCAGTGTCAGTCCTCCCCTCAGCTCAGGACCAGCAGGAACCTCGCCATGCGTGGATCCTCTTGAGTTGCTGCTCCTCAGTAATGGAGCCAGGGGGAATTTCCAGTCTGTTGGAGAACGCCAGTGGGGTTGGGTGACAGAGGATGCAGCTGTGACCACACACGTTGCCATGGGCTGAAGCTGGACCAAGAGCACAGTAAATCCAGGCAGCTGGTCATTAGGCCTAAAATAGCTACTTTTTGACTGCCTCCAACAATGTGTTTCTGAAAAGTGCTAGAAATTCAGTTTCCTAGAGGGTAACTGTTAAAGAAATTTATTCACATGTCAGGAATTTTAAAAATCTGTTTGTTTTTAATGCTTATTGGTACTTATGCATTAAAAGTAACTACAAATGTCTTATTAAAGATTCCACTTTAAATGCACAATTTTACCTCATTTTATTATAAGGAATTGTTACAGAAAATGCAAATATCAATATTTGAAAAATACATTCCATACACGGACTCCAAAGAAACAATGCTGATAAGCGCCATGGTCTGATATGATGCCATCACCCCACACTGAACAGCACCCCAACGGCTTGAAAGCCAAGGTGATCGACCCAAATGTGTGGCTACAGTTTCTGCCCAGTTACTGCCCTCTCCCTTGGTAACAGCCAACTCTACACATCTGCCAAGAAAGGACAAGCCATTAAGTCAAGCAGTCTGCCAACCTGAGACTTCCTAGCTACAGAAAACCAATGTTGTCAATTGTAACAGGTTAATACATTATTTATGCCACACAAAAAAGGAAACATACAGGCAATGATCTTCCAAAAAATGTCTTTAAGGCATCTATGATTACTTCTGGGAATTTAGTAAGTGTTTAGTAATATCTTATCA